AGCTAGAATTTATCTCAGAAATATATTAAGCAGACACTAAAGAATATTAAGCTTCAGAAGGAAAAGAGGGGTTATCAATGAACTGCAGCTAAGATCACAAGCTCCTTATCGGCAAAGAGAAAAAAACCTATGATAAGCTAAAATATTGATACAAAGCAGAATTAATTTTCAAGATAAAATTTAGAAGCTCCAGGGTTAACAATGCAAACTCATTTCCTCTTTGCTCAGCCACTCAGCTCTTGCCTTCGACTTCCCTGACACAAAATAATCACCTCCTGCTAGCAAAACCTACAGGAGTGATTCCCAGTCTTCAGGTGCAAAAGAATCCACTAAGCGGTTGCTAAAATGTTGATTCTTTGCCTCAACCACCAGAAAATGCTGACCAGGTAAGTCTGGGTTGCACTTAGGAACTGACGTTTTAACAGGCACCCCATGTGATGATGGTAAATGTCAGCAGAGGTTCACATGCCAAACTCTTCTCTAAGGCTACAGTCTCTAAACTTGCAGTTGCTACCCATTAATAAGTCTTGAAATCAGCTTAATATGACAGCATTTGAAAAGAAACAAAACAAAATGTTAGTGTATACTGTGCAGTCTATTTTTGGATTCATTTATTCAATACATATTCGGGTGGCCAAAAAGTTCATTGAATTTTTACGTAAGATCTTACAGAAAAACCCAAATGAACTTTATGGCCAACCCAATATATAAGTGTGAGTGTATGTGTGTACTGAGTTGTGAGGTGAGATGCATTTTGGATAACGTCTTAGCCAAACAAGTCTGAGAGACACCAGAATCACTTCCCTGTGACGCCCTCACTGTCCCTCCCCGCACCAATCTAAATACCAAATCATCACTCCAGCTCCAACGTCCTCCTCCAACCACAGGGCCAAAACAGAAGTGAGGCTGTGTTCTATGTTTATTCTCAAATGTCAGGAAGGATAACTAGTCTTTGGAGTTCAGGAATGAAGGACAGGAGACCTGTTAGGACACGGCAGACCCTTGGGCCAGTAGATGCTGTGAAATTTTAAAAAAATGTAGCCTCTCAACTGAGCTTAGCATTTTCGGAAGGTCTGAAGGGAGAAAAGGGATTGGCAAGGAGGACTGGGTGGGAAATGAGGGGCAGATAATAGAGAGTCGGCTGAAACTCAAGAAATTGGAAGGTTAAGCCCACACTTTATTCTTTTTGTGAGGATGATGCTAGTAACCCATCATCAGGAGATGGTGTGGCTTTTGTGTTTTGTTTGTTCGCCCCAGGAATGGGGATGGATACTGGCCCATTCATTCCTATCCTCTTGATGCAGCTTCTAGTGATAGTAAGAGTTTGGAGGTACTGGCTTGGACACAGACAGATCCACAACTTGTTCTCATGAAGACAGCTTTCACCAAGTGGCACACAGCCCCGAGAAAGATGGCAACTGGAAAATAACAGCACGTGTTTTCAGGATGTGTGCTATTGACCCTACCCAGCCTCTTTACTCTGGTCTCTGCAGCCCCTTGGAAATTCCTCCACTAGGGCTACGGAGAAAAGTCCACCCAGGGGGCTCAATGAGAATCAGCCTTCATTCCACTCGGCAAGCCACGCATGCAGTCTGATTTAGGGTTTTCAACTTGAGGAAGGGATGTTTTTCTATTTCTCTGGCCCCATCTCCACACCACCCCTCAAAGAGTACCTTTTCCTACTTCTGTGAAGGTTTAGCACAGGCTAATAGCACCCTGGTGGCTCAGAGGTAAAGAAACTGCCTGTCAATGTAGGAGATGCAGGTTCGATTCCTGGGTCGGGAACATCCCCTGGAGAAGGAAATGGCGATGGACTCCAGTATTCTTGCCTGGGGAAATCCCATGGACAGAGGAGCCTGGCAGGCTACAGTCCAAGCACCCCAAAGGGAAGGTAATTCAATTTAATCAACAAGGCACTTGCTTTTTCATGATGTCAGGTAATCTTCTAGTGTTCAAAGGATGCCCACAATCAAGACACAAATACAATTGCCAGTCTCTGCTCTGAGTAAAGTGACTCTTCTAATTACCATTTCTCCTTTTAAGCATTTCAAAATTGGAGTGTGGGTTTAGCAGCAAACACATGAATGGACTATCAGGGTAACTGAATTCACACACACACACACAGAGGTACCTGAGATGTGAGCATCAACCACTCCCACAATCCCACATCATCAGGCTGCAGGACCCTCTGCTCCGTTTTCACTTCACAAGACCATTTTGGGTGTCTTAGAATGCCCAGGACGCCATCTCCCTCTGAGCACCTTATTTTGTTTGGCACCAATTTGGAAGAAGAGCGAAGCCACACGGGAATTGCGCTAAGTGCAGCTATAGGGGGAAATGACTAAAGTGAAGGAAAAAAGAAGCAACCCATTTTCTGGGTCAAGTGGGTCTAGCATAGTCTGTGATCTGCGGTCTCTCAGTTCACACACTGCCACACAAATGTTCCAACCAGTCCACCCACCGCCACTCACTGTGCTAAGTGCATGATGCCTTTAAAGAAAGTTAGATCTATTTCCAGCACATTTTTAAAAAAACGTCAGCTATAACAACTTGCATAGCCAATTTACTGTCATGATCTTTGCTGACTGCTTTCAGTACAGGAGGGATGGGGAGACAAGCCTTTTGCATTGCTGGGCTACCAAGGAATCTTCCTTTGAAGAGACTGCTTCACTCCAGAAGGAAAATGGCTCTCTTCTACACTTGCTATTTCTCTATCCTGCTGTTTAGTCACTCAGTCGTGTCTGACTCTTTCGCAGCCCCAGGGACTGTAGCCCGCCAGGGCCCTTTATCCACGGGGATTCTCCAGGCAAGAATACTAGAGTGGGTTGTCATTTCCTCCTCCAGGGGATCTTCCTGACCCAGGGATTGAATCTCCTTCATTGGCAGGAGGGTTCTTTACCACTGAGCCACCTAGGAAGCCCTTCCCTATCCTGTAGATGGGGAAAATAAATGCTAAGACATGCTATTGTGAGGGGCTAAAAAAGAGAAAAAAATACAGCACATAGCAGGCACTCATTGTTACCCTTTCCCTTTGGTGCTGAAGGAAGGTGAGTTACCCAGAACACTTGTTTTCCTGGGCAGTAGACTTTTAGAGAAGACGGGAAGGCAGTGTTCCTAAATAACTGAGGGAATCAGGAGGTGCCAGCTCTCCTCATGGTACAGCAGAATTAGCAGTGACTATGCAGCTTCTGCAACTTAATCACCAAGGGAGTCCTTACAGCCTCCTAATGGTGTCTGTCAATTAGCCGATTAGGATATGTGACAGGTGGCGAAGCCTGATGTTTGCCAGACAGACACATCAATTCAGGGTAACTGGATAAACTAACTTGTGGCAACAGGCTAAAGCTGGGTCCCCACCCTAAAATATCAGAAATGTCTTGACTTTTCTGTAAAGTCTGTAACGCCTCTTAATGCACAAGGCTCTAGTCATGCTGGCATATTTGCACTCTCTCAGTACACGGCAATCTTTGACATCCTTCTGTATATGTTTCTGTGCTTTGGAATGCCTTCCCATCCTCCACCTTCCTGCAGAGTCAACACCTCCATCTAGGAAGCATTTCTCATTCCTCCGTAGTGGGTCACTATCAGTCACTCGGTCGTGTCCGACTCTGCGGCCCCAAGGACTGTAACTGATAAGGTTCCCATCTGTGGAATTCTCCAGGCAAGAATACTGGAGTGGGCTGCCATTTCCTTCTCCAAGGGATCTTCCCACCCCAGGAACCGAATCTGGGCCTCTTGCACTGCAGGCAGATTCTTTTCTGTCTGAGCCATCAGCTAAGCCCTTAGTGGGTTAGGGTCCCCCCGATCTCCAAAGGCAGTCTAGTCTTGTGTCTGTCATTGTGCTAATCCCACTATCCTCCCACTGTTTCCTGGACTCTCTTCCCATTAGACAATGCGCTCCTTGGAGATTTACATTACATTCTTTAAGTAAACAAATGCACAGTCTATGTACTGAATGAACGAATCAATGAGTAATGAAAGAATGAACCCAGGATTGGAACACGAATTCAGAATCCAACCTCGCACACAATCCTTTCTTTCACCATATCCTTTGTCAGCAGCAAAATAGCTACTTTCAATAGGTAGTTAGGGAGACTAAAGTCTTTAGAGGAAAAGGGGAGTAGTTGGCCTGTTTCCCCTTCCCACCCTGACATTTATTTGCTCTTCTGGGTAAGACAAATAATTTACCTCTAGTTAACAGATTATTAACTACAGATCTTCTCTGTAAGAAGAATGGAGTGAGACTGTTACTAACTATACCTCCTAATGCATGAACTACAACAAAAAGCGAGTTCTACAAAAGAAAACCAGAGAAGCCTCCCTTCCATTGATTTCGTTGGCCCTGGGCTCCACAGATACTGTCACCAAGGCAGTTTAAACACCTGCCTTGTTTAAACTCTGCCAGCAATTTGAATTCAGTTATGTTTGCAACTGTGAGTTTCCATCCATGAAGCAAAGTGAGGCAACATCTTAGCAGAGATGAAACATAACTAGGCCTTATCTTGTCCTAACCAAGGACATCTAAATTATGTCTCAAAGAGAAGTTTACACTCCCTGAATAACATAACCATCTACTGAGAAGTCTGTAATTGATGATTAATCCTTCCAACATCACCCCGGAAACCCCTTTCCAGTGTAGCTAAGAGTGTATGGCATTTTGAAAATCTTTTCCCCTTCCAATCAAGTTGAAATAACAGATCAACTCATTGAAGCTTCACTTGACACTAGAACCTCAAGCTTCTGCAGGAAGATTTTGGCCATAAATATATTTGTGATGAAGTCACTACTGGAAAGCCAATTTTCCCTGTTTTATGAGATAACCTCTTAAAGATCATGTTTTGAGAACCATCGGTCTCTGATGATATGCCCTTAAGCTCTGGCTCCTTTCCTCGGCTGAGCCCACAGTAGAATGTCATGATTGCACTCACATCAGGGCACTCATGCTGAGCAGAATGGCTATGAAACATGACCCCCAAGGGAAGAGAAGAGAGTTTCCTGACCTTGTGCAGCTCCACAGGAGTTGGGGACATGATCTCCTTTATTTCCTGCTTCATTTTTCTCAGGGTGACAGATTTCCTGCCCACATCCGAGGGCAGAGTGTTGCTGCGAGTGGTCTGGCTATAGTGTGGCCGGGAGCTGCTCCGTTCCTGGAAGCTGGCCTGTCGCCCCAGCTGACTGCGAGATGAAGGGGCCTCGTGATTCAAACTCATCGTGCTCCCCGACATGATCGTTGCCTGCGGCAGTGACAATTTTCAGAAACAATTAAGCCATCGACTAAGGGGAAGCTTTGGCTGCTCAACATGAAGCACATTTCTCCTTCTGCTCAGTCAAAATACAGTCTCTTCGGGGCACAGCCAAAGGCTGGAGAATGGAGGTACTGACTGCACCCTGAAAAGTCTGGGAAAATGCTTCGCAAGTGACATTTACAATGCACATAACAAATCCAATTTAAGTACTTAAGCCATTGAGTTTATTTAATCAAATACCACCCCTGGCAGTTTGGAGGCACGCTGAAGAGCTGTAACATCTGCTTACTGCAAACCACATTTTTAAGCAGAAACTTTCCACTGAGTGGGCTCTAAAGATGGGATTTATCAGGCAACCTTCAGTATATCTTACAGAAGTGAACTAAGAACTTACTGGAGATCAGGCAGCCCCTATTGGCAATGGAACCTCCAACCCCACCTGCAGGTAACAACAGGCTGAAATGAGGCTCCTGATACAAAAGCGAGGGCTCCTACTGAATGTTGCCTGCCGACCTTGGTGTACTGTCTTCCCTTTGGCCACGCGGCCAGCCCGAGAAGTCAGTAGATGAGTTAGGTCCCCACATCACTTGGTGTAGGTCGTTGTTTCTTAGAAATGGCCTATGTGTAAGATCCTCACAGAGGTTAAGGAATAATCACATAACATGCTACTGGAATCAACCCTTTGCTCAAAAGCAAGGGGACTTGACTTTTACCAGTGAATTGAGAAGTGTTCCGTTTCCAATATAGTGTCCCTGTATAATACACAACAAATGGCAAGATTAGCTCTCAAAAATGACTGAGTCTCAGAAGTGGAACAAAAAAAAGCATTTGAAACCAATATCATGTTGGGAATGTTCATTTCTCATGGCTGAAGGATGCTTAAATTCTGCAAATATGCCTGTAGCCAGCTCTGTATTCTTTCATATAACGGGTATATAATGGTATACCAGCGTCAGTGAATCTTCCCGAAAATAAATTCCACATGCCATATGACTGGCTACAACATGATCTAGTGGTTTATATTGATACTGATGCTAAAGGTAACAGAAGTGTAATGTGAGTCCTTTGAATGTATGCACACATTTAACAACTTTATGAGTTAAGTACTGTTACTCCTCCTAATTTACAGGAGAGGAATCTAAGGCATAAAGAGACTGACCTACCCAAGGTCCCATAGGTAGTAAATGAGCCAAGTGCACCATCTAAAATTATTGATCAGGAGGGAACACTGCAAAGTGAGTAGAGTTTTTATTTGTTACCTCGCTAGGATTTTATAATTCCAAGCTTCACCTGATGTTGTTATATACATGCCACTAACAAGATCTCTAAATGACAGCCAAGTATTGGCACACAGGTATGTAGAAAAGAAACAAAATAAGTGAACTTACCAATATCTTGACTACATCAGTTATCTTACTGATAATTTTGAAAAAGAGAAGTTAGAGTGTTAATATGTGCTAAGTACCATATATGTGTGTGTGTATGTAGAATACCATTAAATACTTACAATAACTCTATATGATAAAGTATTATACTTATACTTATACTTATATTTCACTTATATGCCTGGATCAATGAAGCAACTTGCCCTAGAGTCTGGGATTGTAACCCTAGTAATGACTCCAAAACCCTTATTCTTGCCCACTAGGCTATATTGATTCTCAGTCAAGTATGAAGTTGAAACATTTAAAATTGTTTTTTTTAGTAAATAAAAAAAAGCTTATTATTTATCCAGTGTGAATTATCCATATTATGGTTTATTTCAGATAAATCTCCTTTAATTGAAACCTTTTTATTACTAGCTTGTTGGTAACATGGACATCCTTTTATTTTATGGTACTTAACTCACATATATCATTCTTTGTTTAATCTGCTGTTACTGAAGGCATTCAACGATTATTTTCTTGCTGTGGTGAGCATCCACCTATTGTTTTTACCTACTTAGACTAGTTATTTGCTTTGTTAACATTTATTTTTTATACTCATTTTTCACTCGACTGGCAGGAAGCACATTGGAAGTCAAATAGTCACTACAGTGGGAGACAACTGTTCTACTTTGATAAGCCTTAGTCATAATAGAAGTTATAATCTGATCTAGAAATGGTTCTGATGGAAGCAATGACATAGTATCAAAGGGTCTTCAGATCAAATTTTCAAAGGATGAATTGATTGCTTTGTTTAAAGTGAATATCAATTGAATTAGTGACATCCCTGCAGGAATATTAAAATTAAAACTCAAATATAAAACTAAAAAAAAAGTAACTATTTAAAGTTTCTTAAGACTTGTTTTTGCTTCACGAGTATGTACCACCGATTTTCATTTTGCACAATTTGTAATTTATACATTTTCAAAATTATCAGTGAGATAACTGATATGCATACAGCTTAGAAGGAGTATGTCCCAAAGTTCTCTATTTGACATTTAGTTAAACCTTCTTCTTATGTTATACCAAGGAAAAATGAGTTAAGGCAGTAGTCATTACTCAAAGAAGTAGCACAAAAATAATTTCTATTGAACATTTAAATGCCATGTGCTGTGTTGTGTCATATAAGCATTAGTCATTATAATCCCTGTATTTTAAAGAAGAAATAACTGATAAAAGAGATTAAGTAACTTATCTAAAATCTTAGTTTGAATTTCTCTCTCGTTAAAATTGTACATTTTTTAGCACTAAAGCTGAACCTAAATTATTGCTAACAATGGGGAAAATGACTAGTATAATTTTCATTTCAATTGTAATCATTTTTTATCTTAGCTAATCTTCTACATTTGTTACATTTATAGTGTGCTTTAACTTTTAATGCTAGATATAAATTTCATATGCAGGAACCTAGCTCCAATAATATTTTTTGCATAGTAGCACTTGAAATCAAGGAATCAGAGTTCATTTAAACTAATAAGTGGATATTCCTTGTGCTAAAAGTGTGAATAATACTCTCACTTATGGATTTGTCAATCATTCTTTCTAGTTGAAAAATTTTTTTTCCTCTTTGACTATTAATTCAACCCATTTTACCCCCCTGGATATATAATTTCAAGGGCCACACCTGCCTGAAGTGATGTTAGAAAAAAATCTATTGGCTGTTGCAACATAATTTCTATACTGATGGATGTTGTTTTCACCAGGTAACTCAATTTCTGGGTGAAAACACAACCTCACTGTATTACTTTTTATATCATCTTCACTTTGTTAATACCTAATGTAGAAGAAGCTATTAGAAGAAAAATGGCTTCTTCAAATGAGATTTCAAAATGAAAAATGCAAAAGGCATATGAGCCAAAACATGCTTTTAAAAACAGTACTATGTTAAAAAATTGTTAACTGAGATCTTTATTCAATTTGGTACAATGCTGATCATTCTCCATCCAGGAAGTGGTAAAAGTTTAAATAAGCTACCTGATACTTAAGCATTCTATACTTTTTGAAAGTTGCATGAAAACGAATCAATTGCTAACATCTTAATTTATTTACATTTTGTAGGATTATCCATCTCCAGGTCCTTTAACTGTGCTCTGAAGTTGAAATTCATGCCAGGTAATACCATGATGTTTACGAATTCAAACTAATATTTTTCTTTATAATTCTCTTTGCAGATTCACAAACATTGGAGTCACATAAAATATCCACACATGCAACTGAGAAGCAAAATAATATAAAGATGAGTCATCATTTTAGAACTGCAAGAGTTCCACCCAGTTAGGCCATTCACATTCCTTATGGTGACTTGGGGACCTCATACGACATCAAAATAAAAATGAGACTTTTGCCACTTTCTTTTTTACAGCTCAGAAAATTTAAAAGAACATAAAAGGAAACAGTCCAGGACTTCCCAGACCAAAGTGTGAATACTGTCAGCAAATTTACGGCTTTGATTAAAGAACTCACCAGGAGTTCTGCTATTATACTCCATCTCTCTGCAAGTCCTTGAATTCACACTAAGTTAGCACAGAAGCAGGATTTGCAATTAACAGCAATGTACTCTGTAATATTTTGGCTGCTGATCAAACAGACTGGCCTTTTTTTACCAGCTGCATTGTCATCTACTTTAAGGGCAAAATGAAGTAAGATCAAATTTCCTCTTATGTTCCTCTTCACGATCAAATTAACATCTCTACCAGGTACAAATGAAAACATGCCAAAGAAACCTTTCTAAAGCAAATCAGAGAATGACAGACGCCACTGCTGAGACAGCTCGCCTGAGCGATCCAGTGGCAAACAGGGATAGTCGGGGTTAGCAAGGAGCAATGGCAGAGAAGCCACAGGTCAGTAAGCTCAGGGTGGGGGCAGAAATGGGGAAAGAAATACTTGTAACTGCATTGGATAAAATCAAATCACTGTCCGAAAGGCAAGGGGGCAGGGAAGGCAGCTTCACAAGCAAAAATATAAACAGAAAGGGTAGCTACCAAGAGATTCATGTTTCTCAAAGACACACGCCTGTCAGCTTTCTCCTGTGGAAAGGGGTTAAAGCTTTTAAATGAACTGGTGTGACCAATGCCAACTCAAAAGGACCAAAAAAATGAATGTAGAAACAAGGAGAGTAAGTGGCAGGACCGAGGCTACCTCGAGTTCTCTCAGAATCCCGGACTGTCCACAGGTTTCCAGATCCTCCAGCGCTTGGGACCAGAAGTTCTCCTCTTGCTCAGCCTCAGTACTGTCAGGAGGCCCTGTGAAACTGCTGTCCAAAAGCACAGTCCTGGTTAAGAACTTGCCAGATACATATGTATATATACATTTATATACATGTGTGTGTGTTCAGTCACTCTGTCATATCCAACTCTTTGCAATCCTATGGACTGTAGCCTGCCAGGCTCCTCTGTCCATGGGATTCTCCAGGCAAGAATACTGGAGTGGGTTGCCATTTTCTTTTCCAGGGGATCTTTCCAACCCCAGGAATTGAACCTGAATCTCCTGCAGGCAGATTCCTTACCATTGCACCATTTGGGAAGCCCAAATACATACATACATGTGTGTGTGTGCACACACACACACATGTATGTAATGCTATGCTAAATCGCTTCAGTTATGTCCAACTCTTTGCAAACCCATGGGCTGTAGGCTGCCAGGCTCCTCTGTCCATGGGATTCTCCAGGCACGAATACCGGAGTGGGTGGCCATACCCTCCTCCAGGGGATTTTCCTGACCCAGGGATCAAACCCTCGTCTCTTATGTCTCCTGCATTGGCAGGTGGGTTCTTTACCACTAGCACCACCTGGGAAGCCTATATATATATATACTATATGTGTATATATATGTGTGTGTGTGTGTATGTATATATATTTGGATCCAGAATCTCCCTCCCCTTCATCTCACACACAAAACAGAGATTCATTTTGGATCTGGTTTTCTTTCAGTTGTGGCCTCCAAGTCAGGCCAGTTCTAACAGAAAGACACTGTAGGAAATTCAAAATGTCTCAAAGACTGGAAGGACCATGGTCTTACTAACTGAATTCACAGCTACTGTTGAGTGAGCTACGTCAACATGGCACTGGTGGGGATATCTTTCAGCTACTCTATCTGCAAGGAACGAGAAATCAAACTTTTCCTTGAGAGAGAAAAACATGTTTTCCCCATTCATTATAAACATCAGTATTAAATGGTGTTTATTTATTAAAGATTAATATTAGTTATTAATTATTAACATTTAATTATTAAACATTATGATTAGATCAGTTTAAATGGTATCAGATTTATGAGTTTCCTTAAAATATTTTGGTAAGGAGCATACTGCTAAAATAGACTCTCAGTTAAAAATATTGAATCCTCAGTTTAAAAAACATTTTTTTTCATGTAATTTATTGTGAAACTGGGCTTCTGCGGTGGCTCAGATGGTAAAGAATCCACCTGCAATGTGGGAGATCCAAGTTTGATCCCTCGGTCGGGAAGATCCCCTGGAGAAGGAAATGGCAACCCACTCCAGTATTCTTGCCTGGAGAATCCCATGGACAGAGGAGCCTGGCGGGCTACAGTCCATGGGGTCGCAAAGAGTCAGATATGACTGAGCAACTAACATACACAAACACACACACAGACAGTGTGAAACCACCTTCTAAATGAAAGGAGAGGGAACCAGTCACAGTGAGGACATGGTTTATAGGAGCAGGTTTTCCCCATGTGCTACTGTTGTTCTCATTTGGGGAAACTTTAGGGTGGCAGAGCCCAGACTCCTGCTGGGCAGGCTCAAGTCTTCGAATCGGCCATGGGGCCAGCATGGGCGGTGACAGCGGCTTCATGAATCCTTCCAACGTGAGCAGTAGGTGCCACAGGAAGTACAGAAGTTCACATCCGGCCCAAATGACCCGGAAGCAGTTGGGACAGGGCGACAGTTGGTGAAAACCTTACCCACTGACGGTGGACCGGTCCCACTCTTCGTTACTTAGTCCCACATCGGGGTAAGTCTGGCTTCGGGGCTTTGTGACTGGGGACAGGCTGCCTCTTTGTTTGGGACTTCTCCAGTCATAGGTGTTGAAGTTGTAGCCTGAGGCCTGAAAGCCAGTGCCTGGAACAAAAACAAGCCGTTCATTATATTCTGTTCTAGTCACTTGTCTTTTTTCTGTAGTTTCCATTTGTTTATTCAAGGGGTCTGCCTTTAACTGAATTGGGGATCATTAAGGCCATCAAGACAACACTTAATTTTTACATTAAGGACACACTCGTGTCTATTATCCCAGTTGATTCTCATAAAAACCCTGAGGTAAGACCCAAGCTGGAGGGGCCTCCAAGCAGGAGGGCTCCTGCCCTCCCCTGTCCAGCTGAGAAATCTGCTAGGAGGGGGGATACATCAAAACCTGTATCCAACCCTTTCCAGAGCAAGTTCCAGAAGGTCAGAACCCTGACTTGCCTGCCCAGATATCCTGTGTCCACTTGCAGGGTGCCAGAGGGCTTCTTACCAAAGCCTGTCCTTCTGGGAGTAGAATCTGCCACCAGAGGTGGGTTCTAGGTCCAAGGAGTCGCAAGGGGTGCTGGTTGCAGGGTGTGGACGGAGCACAGAAAAACTGGCTGGGGCCCACAGATGTTAGGCATGGGCCTGAGGATCACTTCATCCGCATTGTTAGTGAGTAGAGGGGTCGATTAATTACAGAAACAGCGATGATAGTAAGCCCAGGGCAGGCGTTAACTATGCACCCAGAGCTTCATCAAGTCCTTTACTTGGGGCTTCCCTGCTGGCTCAGTGGTCAAGAATCCGCCTGCAAATGCAGGAGACATGGGTTCGATCCCTAATCTGGGAAGATCCCATATGCCATGGCGCAACTGATCTTGTGCACCATAACTATTGTGCTTTGCCCTAGAGCCCGTGCTCCGCAACAAGAGAAGCTACCACAATGAGAAGCCTGTGCGCTGCAGCTAGAGTGTAGCCCCTATTTTGCCACAACTAGAGAAAAGTCTGCGCAGCAATGAAGCCTCAGCACAGCCAAAAATAAATAAATGAATAAATAAAATGATTAAAAGTCCTTTATTTGTATCACCTTGTTGATTCTGCACAATTATCTCTGAAGGTAGGTACTGTTATTATTTTCATTTGAGGACCTAGTTGGTACTTGCAAACCTTCCTGGGGGTTCCAGTCCTAATTTTAGGAGAGTCAGATCCTCCCATTCCATAGGAAGGTCTTCCTAAAACGACCTCGCTGAGAAAGCTCCAGGGGGAGAGGAGGGATGTCTAAGATCAGTCAAGGCTCCCTTCTCACTTCCCAATTCACAATTGTTTTCCTGCCCCTTTACAAATGAAAGGCATATTTCTCATCCATATCAAATCTTTGAACGAGCTTGACCCTGGGATATAAAAGCTCCCAGCCATCAGTCGAGGGATAGATAATTAGGGAAAGGCTCGGTCCTGAGGGAAGGTCTTGGAGCGGAGCCTTATTTCAACCAGGCACCTACTTAGTGCAAAGCTTTTAACCCCTCTCATCTATCTCTCTCCCTGCATCTCAGAATTAGAGTTCAGAAGGACAGTTGTCAGGGTGAGGAGGTGCGCACATTCTGATGTTTATTTGACCAGCGAAACAAAGACTGACTTCCTTTCTGACAGGGAGTTAAGTCTGATTAGCTTGATGAGAAAGTGAGGACTGGCTTTGACAATCAGGTTATATAATAGATCATTTCCCACAAAGTTGAGCTACATCTGTGGCTTCATATTTTGACAAGAATATATTTAAAGCGTATTTACCACAGACTAGAAATTACATTTTTTTTTGTAAGTATCATAATTTGGGGAGGGAAAAGTTAGGATGACAACCTTTAAGTATGAGGTAGGGTCTGCAGTGTTTCAAAACTTTTCAGGGGGGCTTCCAGTGGGAGAGCAGGCGCTGACTGGCAGGTCTGAGTCTAGCGTTAGTGCTGGAACCACCGTACGTGACTTCAGACGTCACATCAGGTTGTGACTCAGTGCGTGCGTGTTTGCTTACATGCGTGCTCTGTGTTCAGTCACTAAGTCAGGTTTGACTCTTGGTGACCCCATGGACTGTAGCCTGTCAGGCTCTTCTGTCCATGGGATTTTCCAGAAAAGAATACTGGAGTGGGTTGTTGTCTCCTGCTCCAGGGGATCTTCCTGACCCAGGGATTGAACTCGCGTCCCCTGTGTTTCCTGCGCTGGCGGGTGGGTTCTTTACCACTGAGCCAGCTGGGAAGCCCACGTGTATACTGGTTGCAATATAATACTTATCTCTTACTGTGGTTAGAGCACATCATCTAGCAAACAGGCCTAGAAATAGAGCCACAATTTCACATTCATTTAAATGACCCAACAACACAAGATGACTATCTCCACGCCATTCCTTTGCTTCATCTTCCCCATTCACTTTCCCTCTACTTGTTTAGTACTATAATGCCATCCTTACTATTAGTTAGAGCCCAGAGAAAAAAGGAGGTCCAAGGATAATGCTTTCTGATCAAGAGGATTTACCCTCCACCATACAGCCGCTACATGGAAATACCCGACGCACCTCCTGTTTTAGGAAACCAAGCATCAGAAGTCCTCAGTGCAGGGGCAATATTTACAGTCCCATATCTCATTTCTTTCTTGGGTAACTGCAAGTGTGGCTAGACATTTGGGGAGAAGTTTTGCATGATGAATGTTCAGTTTTCTGTCCAAAGCGTTGAATTACTGGGAACCCTTGAGTCTCTTCTTAAAGGGGAGTGATGGGGCAACACTACATTTCACCTGGCTCCCTCTGACAGGCTATCCATCTTCTGAAGCAAATAAACCAACACCCAAATATGTGACATCTCTTACAAAGAGTTGAGGGAAGTAAGTCCACACCTCCTTCCCCTAAAGGCTTTAAATTTGCTAAGAGCAGAATGCTAAATGTTGGTGTTCTCCCAGGGGCATCCTTTTCTGACAGGCATTAACCCATAGACCATTCAGTTCCCAAGGGAAATCCCAACATATTTTAAACTGAGCAGATCAACTTTCTGATTTTTCCTCCAACTGATGTAAGTAGTTCTTGGTGACTTGAGCAAGACTGAAAGGATGGGCTTGAGCAGATATGAAGCATCATTACTAGGAAAATGCCCCCTCCCCACAAAAAGGCATGTCTGTCTATATCAAGGAAGACTTGTCTTAAGAAGTACTATTAAAGAATTATCATGTCACAACAAAGCAGGGCATGAAACGGGGATATGCAATGCAAATATATGGGGCTTAGGTATAAACTTACAAGACCTGGTCTGGTCCATGCTATGCTAGCACAGAGAATGAAGTAAGCAAAACCCAGGTTCAGAGCCCAGCTTTGCCACTTGCTTGCTCTGCAGTCCTGGCCAATTTGCCTCCATGTAAAATATAGATAGTGACACACGCTTCACCAGGTTGATATGAAAATTAAGGAGAATAATACACATAAACACTCACAGACATGCCTGGAACACAATGAGGTTTTAATGAAACCTCATTTAATGTCCATTACTTTTATTATTTACTAAGCAACTCAATTTGTCAAGATCTCAGTCTCATTATAAAACAGGGAAAGAAAGAAATCAGCATGCCTGATTTAGTAAATGTTCCAGGGGCTTCCCAGGTAGCAGTAGGGATAAAGAACTCGCCTGCTAACGCAGGAGACATAAGAGACGTGGGTTCAATCCCTGGGTCAGGAAGATCCCCTGGAGGAGGACATGGCAACCCACTCCAGTATTCTTGCCTGGAGAATCCCAAGGAAGGAGGAGCTTGGCGGGCTACAGTCCATGAGGTTGCAAAGAGCTGGACATGACTGAAGTGATTTAGCCTGCATGCATGCACCAGCACCTCTAAGGCTTGTCAGGTACTGCAGGAGGAGCTGAGATGCAAAGATAATAAAATCAGATTCCTGTCCTCAAAAAGATCCACAGTTTAGTATAGCTTTGGGAGAAAGAAGAAGAGAAACAGGCAGAGATAGAAAGTGAGAGTTCTATTAGCATGTGAACACACTGATAGAAAAGAACAGAAATCTGTCTGGGGATCAGAAAGCAGGTCATGAAGGGTGCCAATGGAACGGCAACATACGAGCTGGGACCTAAGGGGCGAAGCGGGCATTCACCAGTGGAAGCACAGGGAACGCTGAGCAGGAGGGGACGCTGAGCAGGAGGGGACGCTGAGCAGGAGCGGACGCTGAGCAGGAGGGGACGCTGAGCAGGAGCGGACGCTGAGCAGGAGCGGACGCTGAGCAGGAGGGGACGCTGAGCAGGAGCGGACGCTGAGCAGGAGGGGACGCTGAGCAGGAGGGGACGCTGAGCAGGAGCGGACGCTGAGCAGGAGCGGACGCTGAGCAGGAGGGGACGCTGAGCAGGAGCGGACGCTGAGCAGGAGCGGACGCTGAGCAGGAGGACTGAAGAGGTGTCCTCGTGGTACACCTCGCTTCCGAGCCTTATGTTCCACCAGTGGGTGCCTGCTTCACTCTCCAGGCGTGAGCAGCAGTCCAGGGAACTTCTGGTCCCTCTGGCCATCTGTGCTTACTCCTCCCCAGAGGATGAGCATCGATTTACCCAGTTGGCCCAGCTCTGCAAAAGAGCCCTGGGAACGTAACCTCGGGCCCTTTCCGGCTCTCCTCGGACTCATCCTCTCCCATGCTGGAGCACCATGAGGTAAGCCAACCTGAGTTCCACTCCTGAGGCTCAGAGCTCAAAGGTGGCAGGAGGCCAAGGCTGCAGCTATGGCTGTGGCAGACTACTAACTGCCTATCAAACATCCACTCTTCATCTTTTTACCAGTTTTGAGGGTGCCTATTTTGGGGGTGCTCAGGAAAAGACTTATTTCCTAGACTCTCTTGAAGTTAAGTGCTAATTTAACTATGTAAAAAGTTCTGCCCAATGACATGTAAATGAAACTTCCGGAAGGGCTCCTTACAACCCTCTTTTCTGCTGCCCGGAATATAGATGGAATGTAGATGAAACAGCTGCAGCCCCAACAACTATCTTGGGTCGTGGAGTGAACCCAAGGGTGGAAACCAAGTGCTAGGCATACAAGAGAAGAAATATTTAAGAGCATGAGTCCTTCATGGCACTCTGGAGTTATATACTAGCTCTGAAGTGCCT